ACGAAAATGTAGCACAAAATTATAAAAAGAAACTTTAAACACTTCTTTCAAATTTTATAGACGGTCGTAAGTTTTCATTTAGCATATCTAGAAAAGCGTAAATTTGGCTCTTACTAAAAATTATCCTTTCGCCATCCCTTGATTGTCGGTTGATTCCAGGAACGAAAAGAAATTAAATATTACACTGCAAGAAATTTCGTCAGAAAATTCCTTAGATATGATAAAAAATGTAAATTTGATCTGAAACTTAATTTATCTCATCGTCCCACCCTCCTAAGTTTAGCGCATTCGCATAACCTGCCTTTTGTATGCAATGCGATCGGTAAAAAGAATGAATTAAATTTTAATTTTACTAATTCAAGAGATCTGGTACGGATTATATGCACAAAATTAAAATTAGTGATGCTTTGATTATGTTTTAGAATTCAGCTTTTATTTGATTTGCTGAAAACCGTAATACAAGCTCAATATTGAGTTCTTTCTATGACATACAATAAAATTATTGTAACACTATACAATTTAGTAATAACAAACTATGCGCTGAACCTTGCAGTAATAAAGTATACAAAAATTCTGAATATTTATTATAACAATATCCTGCAGAAATATCTATAATGACTGTGTATAATATAGATTCATTAAATGTTTGTTCATATATACTATAACAAAGGAAATGTACGGAATTGCTTGTTCCATTTTATAGTTACATAAATAAATTGCTGAATTATAAGTCTCAAAACTAGCACTACAGGAGCAGCGATCTCAAGAGAATACTTGTATCACAATATAAATTTACATATGTACTTTTACAGTTGTACTTCACTTTTTTTGCTTTCTCACAATAATAATTTACGCTTTAAAATGTTATACATTTTAACATTATACACCATTTTATAATCATACATCAATCTAACAATGCTTGATTACAAAATTGTTGTAGTACTGTATATTAAGACACAATTCACAGCTTATGAGTTGCAATTTCTGAATGGTACTTACGAGTATATCAAATTGACTAAAATTTTTTGAATTTTATGCCAGATTTTTAAAGTTTAAATTATAATTGCTTTTAAAAACATTAAGTATTATTAAATTTAAATCTTTTATTATAAAACATTACTTTGATATTTTACCACAATTTCGAATTAATTCTATAATAAAATTTTTTTTTTATTAATTTAGTATACAAGTTTGTTTTCTTTTGTTTTTTTTTTTTTAAATTTTCTTAAAATTTATAATAAAGTTTTAAAAATAAAATTCATTTTATTTGCCCTTTCAAGGATACTTTTAAAATATTTTATATTAATATAGTGTTATCTTACAAGTTAAGTTCTTTATTATTATTTAAAAAAATAATAAATCTATTTAGCAATATATGTATGAATGTATATATAGAAATATATATAGCAATAATATAACAAAAATATTTGTAGTATCAATAACCCTTGCCATTGTCGAATCATCATTTATCATTCATTTATGTATGTATATATTTATGTATGTATGTATATACTTATTATATTCAAAAAGAAAATTCCTTAAAATCTTGTGGTTCTAAAAATAATAACTCTTTTACAATAAAATATCCTTTTGGTTTATATAAAAATGTGTTATACGCTATATATACAAGATGTTTCATTTTGTAAAAAGAATATAAAATTTATTTCACAATCAAATATAGCAATCACCTACATTTGATTTAATTAATTTTACCTTAAAAATTTATTAAAATATTGAAAGAAATTTTATTAAGCCCATTTCCAAAGATATTTTTATACTAGTACGAACGTATGTTCGGGTAGCTGCCATAAAACTTCTCAATTTATTTGGCTAGATCTCTGAAACTATAAAAGCTGTGGTATTGAAATTTCATACAAGCGAATATATATAAATATGGCCAATGTGGTCAATAAAAGTCGTTGAAATTGCTTGACTTCTATACAACTTGAAAAGTTATTTGGCATTATCTCAGAAATTATTGAAGCTATAATATAAAAATTTCGTGAAAACAAGTGTATTATTAGGGTTGTTATTTGTCATAAAAATCGTTGAAATTCCTTGATTCCTTAGGGTAGCACCCATACAACTTCAATAGTAGTTTGACCATCATCTTAAAAAATATTGAAATCACAATACTGAAATTTTTCCATAAATTAATATGGTAATATGGCAACTAACAGTCATAGTCTGTACCATAGTCAGTTATGGAAAATTCATACATCGCACATAGGATAACAAATTGGCACGGGTATCAAAAACTTGACACGGTCAACTCTTTTTTTTCTCGTTTTTATTTGTAATTTAAGTAATTATCGTATTATAACTATACGGATAATTTTAAATATAAAAGCTATTATTTGAAGAATAATATAATTTTTAAACACCCTGTTCTAAACATGTAAAAAATATAAAACTCATGTGCATTAATAGATTTTCATTTTATTTATTTTATTTTTTATTTTTTTTTTCATACTGTAGTAATTCTAAGTCACCTGACAATAATTTATCAAAAGATTATCTGCTTCAAGAAGATTAAGATGGACCAGAAGTCTGGTGACCCTTTTTGTCTTTTCTGTTCTTAATTTTTTTTTTTATTATAAAAATATTATGAAAGAATGTTATGCTTATTTTTTTTTTTTTTGCCTTACAAAGATTGTTTTTTATTGTTATTTTTATGTTAAATTATTACCTTTGGTTGATATTATTCTGAATTTTTCAAATATAAAAATATAATAATAAAGTAAAAAGTCTCTTTAGTATTTAAGGAATTAAAAAGATTCTGTATAATATTTATATTTCAATATGAATCCTTTATATATATATATAATAGTTTAAAACTAATTTTAAAAGTATTAGGGTAATGAAGGATGGTATAAAATTACATGAACTTATAGAGTTTTCATAAAAAAACAAAATGTTTACATTAAAAATGCATAAGATTTTGAGTTTTTAAAAATTTTTAATTTAATAAAGACCACAAAATAATTGTAAAATTAAATAATTTTTTAAATGTGATCATGAAATACTGAGTGTATTTTAAAAGTAATTTAATTTTTATAAGACAGAATTTTAATATATTTTTGCACATAATCAGTTTGTTCAGGAGATAAAGTTGAATATTTTTTCATAATAAATAATAGATAATAAATTTATAAATATAAAATATTATATTAAAAACTGAATTTGATATTGAGGGTAGCTTAATATGAAATTAATTTAATACACGTAAAATGATTACCTACACGTATAATGTTAATTATATAATAACAATTTTAAATAAATTACATTCCCTCTTAGAAATCACACTTAAGCTCTACATAAATAAATTAATTACTTGATAAATGAATCATTAAAACAAAAATCTAAAATATATATTTAAATATATATGAATACATACATATATGTATATACATATATACAGAAATAAATTTATTCAAAATAATATTATGAATTTGTTCACGAAATTCAGAAAAGTTCTTTATCATTATAAGTTCATTATATTTATAAGTATAAGCTACCTTTAATAAACGTGATTTGATTTTAACTATCTCCTTCAAACTTACTACATAATATAGTATTTAGTTCAAAGCATTATACACATGAATATCCTTTACATCTACATATATACCCAAGCATATTCATGAATATCCTATATAATATGAACAAAAATATAGTTAAAAGAAATCACTTGTTAAAATTTCCTTAATTCCAGCACAAGAAAGAAAAATCAAGAACAAGAAAATCTCAATATTTCTTTTCAACAAAGTTTAGTTTTTGGTTTTTCTTTTTGTTTTAGGTATTATTAGGAACTTTTTTTCTTATGGTATTCATCACATTATACAAGTATATAGAAGTAGAGTAAACTTTTTTGTCACACCTTATGAAAACTTTCTACACAAGATTAAAGAATTTTTTGAAAGAAAAATTAAGAAAAAATTAACTACGAAAGAATCTTTTTGCATATTAAAAAGAAATAAAAAAAAAATCTCCAGTACCATAAATTTCTTTATCAGTTTTTTCAAAAATTTCCAATAACTGAAAAAAACTATATATGTATGTACGTATAAAAAAAAAATATCAGGCAATCTGATAATGGTACGTTGTTCAGTTTCCTTCTTATACATATGTAAATAAATAATTTTCTGTTTTAATACTACAGAGAATGTAGATTTACACGAATATGTTTATAGTATTCAAAATATCTACATTTATCAATATCCATTTTTGGAACACTAAAAATATAAAAACTATTAAGTTTCTTCTGAATAAACGTATAACCTATTATACAGTTGTATGTTGTACTTTATATTCTGCACGTAACTCATGACGCCTGACAACATTTGATGATCTTCTCAAAGCCCTTGTCAAGCAAACCTATACCCAAAAAAAAAGTTAAACCTTTATAAACTTTTACTTTATATGATCGTATTTATATCACTTATTTATTCAGAAATATTCAAATGGGCTAATTAGCTCGTATATATAGTTTAATTTTACTATTTAATAATATTAATATTAAATATATAAAATATTACTTCAGTGCAATTCAAAAATAATCTTACGAACTAATTATAACAAAACTTATATTAATTTAATAAATTAATTATTAATTGATTTTTTAAATTTTGTAATTTCACTAATATTCTTCAGCTCAATTGGAAGTTCATTATATATGCTATATAGCCTTTATTATAAATTGCCTGTTAAGTCTAACATTTTTGCGTATCTTTCCTGCACCCCTTGTATTATGTTTGTGTACGTTACTATTCATTAGTGTTAATGTTCTTTACTACACATTGAATGAACCTGAATGCCCAGCTTCAACTTATTTAATATTTTATTGTTCGTGTGATTTTCACGATTTACCGTACTGAGTTTATATCCCAATATTTGTTTTGGACTTTAACAATCAAATGACGTTAGTTTTAAAGAAAAATCGCATTACCTGCTATAGAACTTTTACCATTTTTTCTAATCAAATAAATATTCCAATGAATAAATTATTTAAACAAGACAAACAAGCAAAAGTGTAATTTACAACCATTTTCAACATAAATTAAAATTTAAATTATTTTTCAAATTTATTTTTTAATTCCAAACTAACAAGAAAAAAAATACTGGAAACAGTGGTATAACAAAATTGTAAGGAAATTTTTTTAAATTTTTTTTTCTTTCGAAATTCTCACACGGGAATAATACACTTCTTATAGAATTTTATCTTTCAATTAGTTCTTTGACTTTCTACTACCAATACTCATACTTTTATCTTTACTAATTCGAATTTTAAGCACAGAAAAAAAATTCTTTATAGAATTATTTGATTTGCTTTTCTTTGAACTTTTCGAGTCCTTTTTTGTGTCAGTTTCATCGTCTTCCTTTGTAGATTTACTGAGGTTTTCAGAAATCTTTTCAATTTTGTCGTAGTTTCCATCACTTTTCGATGAACTCCTTGATGAACTTTTAGAACGATTTGAAACAATACTGTCTGATGATGAGTTACTATGTTTACTTGAAGTAGTTTTGCTTTCACTTTTAGGTGTACGAACTGGCTTTTTTGTTTCCCAAAATTTTAATGCAAACATTGTCTCGTCTATGAATGCTTGTGACATTGATATCTAAAATTAATTAAAAAATTTAAATATACCATTTTTTTTTAATCTATATCTTTTAATTCACTTTTTGCTCTAAGGCAACCGATTGAACACTGTAAAAATATTCAATAAAACCAATGATAAAAGCTGCTATCAAACCTATTCCTAATGCAAGGAATACACCACCCACATTACCCATTCTTAATTCAAGAGAATCACCTCCACCAGCTTCAGCCGGACATTCGCCACCACCATACTTTTCTTTCCACCAACGACGTTTTAATTCGACAAGCTTACCAGTTTCGCCCAGTTTAAGCATAGCTTCACTTATTTGTTTTCGCCAGGGTGAATCTTTAAAAATATAAAAACTTATATAACTCTAAAAATATTATGAAAAATATTCCACTTACTGAATGGCATTGCTATACCATACGTTTTATAATCTAACCACTTCCCGACTTGATATAAATTGCAATCTCTTTCAGCTATATATTCCAAAGTTGTTGATTCCATAAAGAAAGCATATTTTCTTTTAGATTTTTTAATTCTTTCAACACCCAAATCATTTGTTTCAGTCCAAACAGATGGATCTTCTGCATCCATAAAAGACCACATTTTCTGATATAATGCATCATCGGAATTTTTAAAGAATCCCTGTGTACTACCACCAGCAACAGCACCATACTTAATTTCAGTTTGTTTTGCCAAATCTTCTACATTCTTAATTGAAGTATCAATTTGAGAATTTGTTAAAAATGCCGCTAAATTTGCGGTATAAGAATTGAGCATCATAAGAGCAAAAAACCACCACATTCCTGTTAGAATACGTGTAGAAGCTGATCTAAAAATTAAAAATATTGCAATTTTAATATAAGGATATTCCTTATATACTAGATATACTACTTTGGAAGTAAATCGCATCCTTGACCCATAATAGATCCCATTGCCAACCAAACCGTATTTTTAATGGTCCAAATATTTTCCAATTCTTCAGGTTCCGGGTTTTGCGGTGACGGATTTTCCCATTCATCTGGAGCTATTCTTGCTGTAACAAATACCATCAATGAAATTCCTAAATAAGCAGCACTTGTGTATTTCCACACGTCTAAATAAGAAAATTGTTTTTAAAAAATTTTACTATTCTAATGCAATTACTTAATATGAGAGTGATATTGAAATTGGAATTAACAATTACCTGCTGAAAATGGCAATCTAAATGAGAACAAATCTGGTGGTACTGGATCTGCTTTGATATAAAGTATACTAATACCCAAAGTCATAAATGGTGGTGTAAAATCAACAACAGTTCTTCTAGCTGATGTCATCGTTAAATCACATATTCCCATATCAGCTTTCTTTTGAAATACAAAAGTTATTAACAATTAATTTTATTTATTTTTAACCTCAACTTACACCTTCCATGACTTGACCTACAATTCCATTCCATTTTCCAGTTGATTTGTCAAATGCTCCATATTTTCCGTCCGGTGACAATACAAATTCATATTTAAAACCAACAATTTGAGATATTTCATCAATTAAATCCATTGAATAACCTTCGTATCTAGCATTTCCCGTCAAACTTGAATTATCTTTACCCAAATCAAATAAAAATGGCTTTCCGATTCTTGATGATACTATGAAAATTTTACTAGCAAGTTTTCCTTCTTTACGTTTAGCACTCTCTTCTACACCAATATTTTCAACACCACTTAAAGGATTCCATGTTGCAAATGCAGCGAATCCATCTTCTGTTAACTCTAATATTTGTGTTGTAAAGAAAACACGTTTTCCATGTTCTGTAATATCAATACGTCCGGTACTTCCTTCTTCTTTTCTCTGTAATTCAAAAAATATTGTGTATTTTTTATAATAAAACTTGAATTTAAAAATGAAATGCAAACATTTTTTATAGAATCTGTAATATTTCTGCCAAAGGGCCATGGCGTTGGATCATCACATCGACCAGTTGGTGGTTCCATATCTTCTACAAGACCAGATTCAGCTAATCCTCTTGCAAATACCCAAACAGCATCATAAACTAATAACATATTTGTCTAAAATTATTTTTATTTTAGTTTCTTTTTTTTCATATAAGTACTACATAAATATTTTAATTTCAGATTACCTTAACATTACCATCGGAAGTTTTGAAATAGTTTCCTCTACTTCTTTCTCTTTGTTCTATATCATGTAAAACACTTTTTACACTAAAATCTGTTGGGTCAATTATTCTCATTGTTGTAATATTTGCACTTACGGTAATCAACTCTTCGAAATCTAAAGTATGTGCATCCAATGGCATTAGGAAAAAGCTCTGTAATTTTAAAATAAATACGTGCAACATTTTAGTAAGGATAAGAAAAGTTAATTGAATTTTAATAAAATACAATAAGTATCACCTGATATTCCCCAACCATATCCATCTCTTGAGCTTGTTTTAAAAACGGTATAATATTTTCATTGGCAATGTTTACAACTAACGTCATTTCTTGATTATATTTCAAATCTTTTAAAAATGGTAAGTATTGTTGAGAATCATCATATTGTAATTCACGAAATGTTATTCGACTTTCTTCGGTATTTGGTAAACCCAGTACATCTTGCAAATGTATAAAATCTATTTAAAAATAAAATGTTACAATTTGGATAATACAAAAAAAATCTATTTAGGTATGTACCCAAATGTCTCTCATAAACAATGCAATATCTTCTCCAGGAAAATGATGTAACAATAGCTGAATATGCTCTGCCTAAAGCCGATTCATCTGGATGAATATTTATGGTCATTGAATAAAATTCTCTAAAATCAATTGGATTACGAATTTTATATGTAAATAAAATATGTGGAATTTCTAAGGAATGGCATATAGAACTAACAATATCTATGGAAAATAAAATATATAAATAATGTATATGTAAATACATATGTTAAATGTATAATACACAGTATAAAATTACCTGAAGCATCAGCATTACTTGGTCCAAATATTGCTATAACATCTTCGGAAATTAATTCACAAACTTTTTGCTCTATACTAAATGTATCTTCTTGATCTGCATACTTAACAATCGGAATAAGTTCTATACTTCTCTCAAGAGTATTTGTTCGATCAACAGCATCTCGAAATGCAACATCAAATTCGTCGTTTTCACTTTCAAATATTGCACCTATAAAAGAAAAACACATTAAAATAATTCCGTTGTAAACAAAATTTAATTGTAAAACACAATAAAAAAGTATGTATGAATGTATGTAAAGCTAATTTTACACATCATGTTTTTATTTACAAAAAAATCTATCAACAAATTTGCTTAATTATTTGATTATCACTCAGGCTTCAGGCATAAATACACAACCGTACATATTACGTATAAAATTATATGAATGTAAGTTTACACTTATAAATAATATTAATGAGCATCAAATTAATGAATGAGAAAGAAAAACGAATTAAAAGAGAATGAGTGTTGTTCTAATTTACTTTACGTCATTATGAGCAAATAATTTATTGCAAAAATTATGGTATTTTCTATTTGTTTTTATTTATTGTACTCATTTTTTTTTATTATTAGCAGTTTTTTATTGATATTTTCGTGTATCATTTAATAATAGCATAATAATTATTAATAAAATTAGATACCTAGGAAAATGTATACATATGTATGTATATAATTCAGCCAATAACATAACAATAAATCGTGTACATCACGAGTATACATACATACATTATAAATTGAAGAATTTTTTAAGATCATCCTAAAAATACGAGTATTATCATACATTCTTTATTATTGTATGCTTTGAATACCTGCAGTCATACTAAAATGATCAGACCCTGTAAACTCTTTTCTGAATGAGAATTAAACATAAATTAACATTAAAAAAGTTTTAATAGAAAACAAAACATTTACCCGTATTCAAATTGATACAATTCCATTATTACTTCAATTTGATATTGCAACAATAATTTTTTTTTTTAAATTTTAATTCCTTTTGGCAATCACTTTTGATATTACAAAAACAAGAAGACATTTAAATATGTAATTACAACATTAAACTATTTGCATATGTTAAAATTTTATTGCTCACAAATAATTCAAACAAAAAAATAATGCTCTCTTTGATTTCCTTAACAATTCTTTTAATTGTTATATAACACGGCAAATATTTTACTTACAATTTAATATTTGTGTACTGGTACAAATTAATTTTATTTCAAAAATTTAAGTAAAAAAAAATTACTTACCTATATTAAATTGCTTTCTACCGGCACCTATTGTTATTTGCAATATTAATATAAAACATTTTATTAAATTTTTTATATACAATTTTAAAATCATTAAATATAAAACTGATCTTTTAAAAATATGGAACAAAAAAAAAATGATTTCTTTGATTCCACCGTTTAAATTTTAATCAAATGCGTCCGTAACTGAATAAAATTCTTACGAGACTAAGAAGCTGTAAAGTGAAAAATGAGTAAAAAGTTTTCTTTTCAAATGGGTCTGCTCTGCCGTTTTCCGATGACCTTCGCGAAAAAAAGCACTTTACACTAAGCCAAAATATCATATGTGTATGCATTGCTCTTCATCCATCCTCCTTAAAATATTCTCTGTTTTGTTTTCTTTGTAAATAAACATAAAAATCTTTTGTTTATTTTATACGTTCCAATTTCTCTTTTTGTTTCAACTTTTGCATATTATTTTTTTTCTTGGATTAAATTAATTCTCTGAAATTATATTAATTTAATATATGTATGGGTATATGTAATTAAATTACCTACATAGTTGCGCAGATTCATACAAAAATATGGTAAATGAACTTAAATACATATGTATACAAAACCATAGAAAATAGATCTTCCAATTCAAAAATACTCTCAAAAATAATAGATAGCAGAAAATGCACATGCACTGCAGTTGGATCGTATTTAATTTTATGAATGAAATGATTACAAAAAATAGATGTATGTGAATGTTGGTGAATATACATTAGTATATATATAGATACAAAAAAATTAAATTGTTTTGCTTCGCTTAATTTTTTATAGTTACGTTTTATTTATTTGTAAACAAAGTTTTTTTGATATTAATAAATTTAAGTGCATCCCTACATACATACATATGTGTGACATACGTAAACACAACAGTAAAATTAATGATTAAAGTTGAGTAATATTTTCGTTCTTCACATCAGAAAGTAAATTTAGCCTCGATAAAAATAATAACTATATTAAAAAGATAAAAATAATATTATTCTATATTCCAATTTAATGATGTAAGCAAATTTCCGTTAACAAAATTAACAATTTCATCATTAATAATTTATAATAAAATTGAAATTATTGTTATAAAAATTTTTTTCTTAAAATAAACTTCTTGATTTTCTCAAAAAATTACTTTGGTAGTTGAAAGGAAATAAATTTAACTGATATTTTATCAGCACCATCTGTATGACATTTTTATAATAAATGTGAACGGCAATTTATTTTTTTGCTATAAAAATGACAAGCTGGTATAATTTTGACATTTCATGTTTTATATATACACAAAATAAAAAAAATATTATAAAACAGCTGTTTGACAAGAAAATTTTTCAAGTTTCACCTATTTATTTCTTTTTTCTATTTCGATTAAAAAAATAGTTATGGCTTTAAGAAATATTGTAAAAGAATACAGGCTTTTAATTAATAATGGTCAAAGGGCTTTATCTTCAAAAGTTGTCTCTGAAGATAGATCAGATCTAACAAAACGTACTCATACCGGACAGGTAAAGTTTGATTACGCAAAAACTAATCAAAATAAAAATCGAATTATTCATATTTTTTATATAGGTTTTTGAAAAGGATGATTATAGAAATGTTCGTTTCACAAATGCTGCACGTTATGTTAATGAAAATTGGGGTATAAAATTAATTGACGAAATTCCACCAAAGGAGGTTACAGAACGTGTAGTTTGGTGTGATGGTGGAGATGAACATCTTGGACATCCTAAAGTTTATATTAATTTGGTAATTTGAAAATTTTATATCCTTTTAAGTAGTTGTATATCACATACATATGTATGCACACATGTATATTGGGAATATATATGCATAGGTATATACCATAATATGTATATGTAAATAAGGTTATTAGGCATTACTTTACAACAGCAAATTTATGAATTAATCAAAAAATAAGATATTGTAGATCAAACACTAATATATATATAATTTTTTAATTTAATTCATAGGATAAACCTGGAGCACATACTTGCGGTTATTGCGGTCTTAGATTTATAAAAAAGGACACTCATCACTAAATAAAATTTATTTTGTAGTTTAAATTTGTTGAAATTCAAATAAATGCTAAAGATCATTTAAATTTGTCTTTTATATAGATATTTAAGAGTCTTAGACTTTCTATTCAAAATTATGCAAATTTTCAAAATTATCAAGGCACAGAAGCGTGATGAAAAAAAACTTTCTTCTAATATATTATGTACATTTATTTCAATAAATCCAATTTAAAATAGAGTTTTCTCACGGCTAAATTTATTAACATTTTTAAATAAAATTTTTCGAAATACAATGACAATTACATTCTAAAAAGTAAAACGTTAAAAGATAATACAATTTATTTAGATTTATTTTACATAAGGGAATAACTTTTTTTCTTATTGTTTTATTTTTTATTAATTTTTCTTTGCATTAGCTTAATCAGTAAATTTACGATTTTGATTTCTGCCGAATAGAGCATTACGAATTTCTGGTACCAATTGCTGAGATATCATGTGTAATCTCGATTCCAAAGTATTTGGAACTTTGCAACGGCCATTTAAAGCGATAAGTTCAATACCGCCACAAGTATCAGGTGGTAAATAATTTTCAGTATCAATAGTAACAACAACATCTTTGCCAATAGAAGCACGATATTGTTCATATGCACTTGGCAATACATCTGAAACTAAATCATGATCAACCTTACGGCAGCGAAGTGTCACTTGTGGTTCCATTGTTTGGAATAATGCTTGAACAATTAGCTTTTGCAATATATCCCGATAAACTGATTGATTTTTAGTTACTTCTCCCAATCTTTTACGAGCTTCATCTAATACTGCTCTAACATTATCCTCACGTACTTTTAATACTTTTAAGCGAGCTTGATTTAACATATTAGAAGACTGAATTTTCTTTTGTAGTTCAACTTGTTTCTCTTTCTTTTCATAATACTCCATTATTTTCAATCGTTGTTGCTGAACTAGACGTCCTTTTTCAATATTGAATTCTTCTTCAGCTTTTGCATCGATTTCTTCAGCTTTTTCAGTAGCTTCCTGTTCGATGAAAGCCATCATATGATTTATTTGTTTCTGAACATCTGCATCGCTTAGAGCCATTTTGATACTATTTTTATGGAATTTTTCTTATTAGATCTGCAAAACAATAAAAAATCTTACAAATATTATCTTATAAGTTATTTTGATCATGTGACAGATATATTTATTTTAAAAAATTAACTAAAATTTTAGATATTTTATTTTTTTTTTGTTTAAATTGTAATAATAAAAATTTACAAAGATTTTAAAAAAAATTAATTTTAAATTCTTTAAAAATTTTACGAACCAATTGGAAAAATAAGCACCAAGAAAACTTAAAGATGAAATTTTTCAAGTTGCTGTATGTACGTCTAGTGCAAATTCTTTCTTGTCAGGTGACTACAAAAATTTGATAGAAATCGATTTTGACAACTATTCAATGACATTTTACGACACCGCAAATTAATTTTATAAAAGCGACATCTACGGATTCATGTGAGGAATATTTAGAGCAAACTAATAAAAAATATGTCCCTGTACGAGACATTAATAAATTTTAACTTAGTTATTCCTAGTAAGAAATATTAAGCATTGTTAATTATTTTTTAATTGAGTTATTACGTAGCCTAGCCTAGGCTGAGTTATTACGTAGCCTAGCCTATTATTCCATTTTTGTTTCGTGAAGGAACCTAATATTAAGGACTACTGTTGTATAATACAAACTAGCAAGTGAAAAATTTAATACTACATTCAGTTAATAATTATACAAAATTAAATAATTATGTAAAAATTCAAGAATTTCCTTGAAAAATTCAAAAAAATTCGAGATAAATTAGTTAAATATATTTTTAAGAAAAAATTGACATATATACTATATTATTTCTGCAAAAAATTCAATGAACGTATTCGCATCCGGCTGCGGTTAGACTTACCATTTCATTCGAAAAAGTAAGTTTCTGTATAGATCAACTTTTAAACTATCAAACCGACTCTTTTTAAATTTTAATTACCGTTGTCTAAAAAAGCAAAAATATAGTTTATCGGCAAACGTAAGACAACCATTGATGTGGGTTTTGTAATATTAATAATAATGATGCTATTGATAGTGCATTTGTTCCTAATTGTGAAAAGCGTAACGGTATTTGAGTAACGGTAAATGGTGTACGTATACGGTTGTGCATTATTCAAAAAAAGGTACATACGTAAGTATATCATATTATTAAAACACATTTAATAACATAATTATTACGAAAATATTTGCTACAAATAATAATGATTTTAGTATAATAGTAATTTCAAACTTATTATAAAGGTGACTTCAAATTATTTCAATTTCGATTTGGTTTTTGATTATTTAAACATTTATTGCTTAACTTGAATTCGTTCGTTTTGCTTTCCTAAAAATGCACGCACACTTTGTTCTTCCATGGTTTTTATATGTACATTTAACGAAATTTTTAACCGCTTATTCCTTTTGTTCAAAATTTGGCTATTTACTAGCAGGGCAAAAAATGGGGAAATGCCCTTTGGTTTTAATATGTGCCTACTATATCATAAATTAGAGATTTTATTCAAATAACTAAAATTGAACCCCCTTGAGTACATTAATATGCTTACAAATTTCAAATAAAAAGATTAATATGGTTCTATTGAAATTCAGCGGAAGAATTACTACTAAAAAAAGGCTCATTTAGAAACTGCAAATTTAGTACAATTTGTTATATTTAAAAAAAAAATACATATAAATAAAGTAAAAATAAGAATAAAATTAAACAATTAATATTAAAGAACAATAAAAAAATCATTACATTAATTTTAAAAATATTTTCATGTATATATATTCGAATTTAATTAATAGAAGAAAATCATATTGTTTTATAAAATCACATAGAGATTCGTAGAGTATAATATGATAAACTTAATGCTCTTTCAATAAAGCAATTAAATGATTCTTTTTAGCTTTTTCTGATTTTCTGTATTCATCAAATAAATTTAATTCAAAATGTGTTGATACAATTTTCCTTGCGCCTTCGTTGCAATCAATGATAGTAACAATACATGGATAAATGACAACATTGAATTTTTCCGGCAAATTTCTCAAATTTTTTAAAATTACACAGTGAGGGTTCGTAATTAACAAATTTTGATTTTTGTCATTATTTGCACAAAAGAAACCTAAACTGGCTATTAAATCAACTAGCATTGCTTGACATTCATTATTATCAAAACCTAAACATTTAGGCCCACAGTACTTCAAAAGCATTGATACAACATCTAAATATTTCATAGAAATAAGAGATTCGGCTGTCAATACGGACTGGAATGTATTAATATCTAAGACTGCAACTGATATGAGTAAATTAAATGCTGCTGCTGCTAAAGATATTATTCTTGGTGGTATAGTTTCACCAACAAGCACAACATTTGAATATAGTGTGGTAATAACCCCAAATAGATCTGTTGATTTAATACTTGATAAAAAACGTGTTGGATCACTTGGATCTTGTGGACATATTTCAGTAAATTTTGTTAAAAGACCAATTGTTGCCAGTAAAGATAACACAGCACTTTGTTGGCTTTCTACAGAATCTTGTATATCACTACAACGACGAGATAAAATTCCTATTAAACCTGTCATTATTGCATAATTTATTAAATCGGGAATTCGTTCTATTACGATGGGAATATGCTTTTTAGTTCCAGATGGTGATAAAGCAACGGTGCAAGCTAACATTAGTTCGACTGACAATGGAACTGCAATTCGAGCTGATTTTATTTCTGGGAGTTGACAACTTTTCGTTAAAGCATCAAAAAGCACTGTTATAGTATTTCCCATCAGAGAATGTCTAGCAATTTGAGGGCAAGAACTGCAAGCATTCCTATAGAGTTGAACTGAAAGAATTGTCGTTCTTGTATTTAATTCATCTGCATTCTCTATAGCTTTAGTTAAAAAAGAGGCAACAGTACCCAAGCCATCTAATAACCAAAAACATTGAAAATCATTTACTTGACCTTTTCCGATGATCCTAAGTAATTGATTAAACTGTCTTTCCATTCCTAAGGGGCCTCCTCCCTTATTCACTAAATTAAGAAATTTCGGAACTTGACTTTCTCTTTTAATATGAATTGGAACTGGTGCTAATTGCTTTAAATACTCTTCCGCCTTCTGACCCATTCTTTGTTTTAGTTTTTTCAATTTTTTCTTTTGATTCTTTGAATTTTCTCTGCTTACATCTGAAAGAGTAGATGAAAGCTCTCCGTCTTCTGGCTTGCAATCTTCTAAACTTTTTGTTGAAGAAATGGGTGTGGAACATTCTTCCACGTTTCGGGAAGGTATGGACAATTCTAAAGCTCGTTGCCGAATATGTTCGATATTTTCTTCATGACGTCTTGCAGATTCCATTTGTTTTTGAATAATTTTCTTCTGAAGTTCTTCAGTAGTTTGCTGTTGCTGTGCCTGCAATGCTAACAATCTCTCTTCGCGATCTTTTGCTTTTTCTCTAGCTATCTGTAATCTTTGCTTTTCCCTTTGTTCTTGCATTTTTCCAATCCTTTGTTCACGCTCAATTCGACTTTCATTCATTTTTTCTAATCTTCTTTGTCTTGCTTTTTCAATTTCTTGTCTTCTGCGTTCGACAGCAGCTTCTTTTGCAGCTTTTTCTTCTACCTTTTTTTGTCTTTCTTGCTCCAAATCTTGTAGCCGAACTTCATGTTCCTTGCACGCTTCTAAAAAATCTAAACGCTTATTTTGTGCCTCTAAATTTTTAATAAAAGCTATTTCTTTCAACTTTTCTTCTTCATCATGAGCTTTTCTGACAATATCGCGCAAATACTGATTACGATTTTGCGTAGCCTTTTTCAATCGCTCTTCCATTCTCAAACGTTTTTTCTCTATTAACTGCAATTTAGCAGCTTTTACATCCTCAACTCTCGCTAGAAGGTGCTGAATTTTTAATGCCTTTTCTTTTTGAAGTAGTTCCCTCTTTTCTTTGGCTCTTGCTTGTTTAGCTTGATATTTTTTGAGAGTTTCTTGTAAAGATCTTCTCCTTGATGGGCTAGACAATTTTTGATGTAATTCCTGTGCTCTTCCCGGGTATCGACTAACGTAGGCTTGTAAGGTTGCAAGAGTTTCCTTTCTTTCACAATTAGACATTTCCGAAAATAAGGGATAGTAGCGCATTTCTAATGTCATGTCTTCTTCTGGAACAGTAAATGAATCGTGTGAAAGGTCATTGGTTAAAGTTTTTTCGTTGCAATCATCCAAATCAATCATAACTTCACAGTCTGTTTCATCAGTTTCTGTATCTACATCAATTTCCGTATTTTGTAACTCTAAAATTTGTTTTTCCAAAAGTTCCTGTTCTTCGAGCAACTTACGTTGATCTTCATCAGATTCCATATCATCTCTTTCTTCATATTCATCGCAACTGGAAAGTGTAACATCATTCCTGTTAAAATTGGGACCAACTGATAAGCTGTCATATAAATCTCCTATTGCTTTCGAAAATTCCCTGTTTGTTTGGATTTTAATATCAATTTTATTTGGGTCTATTTCATCGGAAATCAAAATTTCATCTTGAATCTTTTCCTCTTTGTTTTCATTTGACTCAACACTTCTTTGTGGAGATTTACTTTTTTCTATTAACTTTTTACTTTCTATATATTCTTTATGAAGTGATGTTATTTTTAAACCAGTTAAATCAGATTTTTGCCTTTTAATGAGAGTTTGACGAGTTTTTAACCCATTATTAATGTTATTTGTTTTGTTATCCCTGGCTGTTAGTTTTGTAATTTGTCTATTCGAGTTTCTGCTTGATGCGATGTTAGGTTTCGTTTTCCCTACACTTTTAGTTTCCTTTTTAAAAATGGAATCATTTTCCTCCGTTCTGTTTTCGTCCTTTTTTCTTTCAGATTCATCTTTTTCATCCAAAAGTGGAAGGGCAGGTAAGCTTGCATAACCGGTTGGTTGATTAAAGCGCTGAACCCAATGGGAGCTAGATTTCCTTTTGGTTTTTACTGTTAACCAACCGTCGTTTTGACTTTGCTGTTTTTGATTAGAATTGGAAACGTTGGCATTACAATTTTCGAAAGAATTCGTTGACTTGAGATTACATTCATTTTTTAATTCAGTTGAATTATTTATAGATCTGCTACTATTTCTTGAAAGCCTTCCAAAGCTTATAGAATTTTTAGGCACATTTTGTTTCTTGCTGTCTTTTATATCAATCATAGTTTTTGAGCGCAGAGGAATGCGATCATTCGTAGATGACTTCCATCGATCAGTCTTATATAAATTTGAATTATGTTGTGGACTGATTTTTTTCTGGGCTACATTGATAGGTATTTGGCAATTTTTAATGCTATTACTAGTACTAAAATTAATTTTATTCAATATTGTTTTATTATTTGCTTTATTTGCATTTGGAATACTGTCGTTCACGGGTTGAACATGTTGTGTATCTAACGAACAAGTTGACCGCACAAAATTTTTATTTCTTAGTGACACCGATTTCGCCGCTGGTTTACTAGAAATGTTTTTATTTAAAATTGTAGAATACTTTACTGGACTAATCTGTTTTTTAAGATTTTTCTCAATTTGCTTATTTTCTATAGTTTTTGTTGTAACGTTTTCAGATTTCTTTTCGATTTTGTTTGTATTTTCTGTTTTTTCCTGAGTCTCTGCAATCTTGTTTTTCAGATCCATATTTATTGATCTAGGTAAAATTGGACTTTTATTTTGATTATGATTAATCTCTTTATTCATTGATTGTAGTTTTTCTCTTATTTCAGCTAATGTTAAATTTTCATCTTCTAAATCTGTTTGAGTACTATTATCACATTTATCAAACTTATTACACAATTCGTTTTCAACTACTTGAACGGATAAATCTTTATTTTCACAACCAAATTCATAATTCAATTGCTCTTTAGGGCTTTCAGCATCTTCCAAGTTTCTATTACTCTCATATTGAATTTCATTTTGTTCTCTCACTATTTCTTTCGTTATTCCTTTATTGCTAAATAATTCCTTGATATTTAATTTACCAACTGTTGAATTTTTAGAAGTTGATTCATAACAATAGAACTTTTTAGGAGAAGGTTTGCTGTCTTCAACAGCAGAACTGGGGCTGCTTTTACCAGAAAAATTTGGACTAGATTTCCCAGATGTTAAGGGACTTGAAAAACTTTTATGTACTCTGGGAACTGGATTACTTTTTCTAATTTCCCAGGCAAGTGAATTTGGGCGCTGCGGTAATGGTGTAGATTCATAGTCCCATGAAACACGAAACCACTCTGCCAAAGCCTTAAAATCCCTAATATAGTTTTCCAATACTAAAATAGTTTCTTGACAAGAAGACATATTTTCATAACATTCCACAGTTTCATAGATTTCATTAATAGCTCTTTGAAGATTTCCAAATAGAAATGCCCAATATCTGGCTTGAATTTCTGATTTTTTATCTCGACCTGTAGATGCACTTCTAACTCTTCTATTTGATCCTTTTGAGTTACTGTCATTTTTGCTTTTTCCAGGATATAAATTTGGTCGAACCTTTGGAAAAACGGGAGGCTTTTTAGCAATTGATGATTCAGAAGACTTAGACAAAAATGACATTAGTTAAACCAAGTTTTATTGAGTGTTTTTAAATAAAAATCTCCGTAATTTTAAAATAGAATGTTTCCTCGCTTTGTGATATTAACAGATGTTTCATTTGCAATTAAATATTGGAAATTAAAAATTTTAAAAATAATTGTATCCAAATTTCTTGTTTACTGAATACAAAAATAGTCTGTTTCTTGATTTAAATTCCTTGTCTTCGAATTAAATAATTTTTTCTCCTAATTCAAAGTTTTAACTTTAACTTAGTTTTATTTTTTTTTTTGCTTTTATTTACGTTAAATTTTTTTTGGTTTGACATATGTATGTTAAACTTCAAAATATGAAATATTTAGATAGGGTTCATTCGATTGCCTTTCTAATTGCCAACAAACGAAAATGTTTTTTTGTAAAGTTCATAACTTAAATACATAATTTCATTAACTGACTTTATTTTAATCTTAAATGTGGTTTTCTTCTTATACAACATTTTTATAAAAAAAATATTAAATTTAAAAACTACAGAGTTCTTCAAAAACCACAAAAATGAAAAATCTTTCAAAACTTAAAAAGGAATTCAAATCTTATTTTAGTTAATTTTTTTTATTTCCCAATTCAAAATTATTTAATTTGTTCATCTTTTTGCCAAAAAAAGTTTTTTGAACTTACTTTGAATTTTGAATTGCTTAAAAAATCGATAAATAAATTAGGATCAGTTTAGTTCCAGGGGATTCTATATTATCGTTATTCGAAAATTATTTTCTCGAGTTATTTCTTGATATATCTATTTGTTCAATATATCTTAAATGATCAAGATGCAGAACAGGCGTTATTACTGTGACAGCTTTTACAAAACTGTGGTGTTAACGAGAATGACATTTAAAATATAAAGTCATATAAAGAGCTGTCATGCGTGTTATTATTTTTCTTATCAGGAGTGAAGCAAATTTATTTCCAGATAGTTCGGTTTCGGTTTTTTTTCCTTTTTTATATTATTACAAAAGGAAGTAAATATTTATATTATTATAAATAACAGTATTTGCAAAACATATTTCATTTGAATATATTATTTAATTTTATTTGAAAATGGATATTTTAAAAAAAATGTTTTCAAAAACCCAAGAAGGAAAATCCGAATCTGAAACTGAGTAAGTTAATGGCGGAAAATAAATCGATATTTTTTGACAAACCCGTGAGAAAAAGTTGAATTGCATATTGAATAACAATTTTTTGCAACGTAATAAAATATTGAAAACAAAATAACATATATCTTATTACTTTGTAAATTACAACGATTGGGTTATTATTGGATAGCGTTGCATAAATATTTTCGAGTATTTGAGATCAATAACGTAAACAGTTCATTTGTAATGTAGGTACCTACCTACTGCACCTACCTACCATCTATATTATAAAATTTTAGAACTTCCCTCAGAATCTGAATTTATAAATTTATGAAATAAATTATAAATTGAACGATCAAATTTATAAAATAAAATACATATTTTTTTTTACACAGATTTCAAAAGGATGAGTTTCGTAAGCCGGCTTGGTATGAAGAAGATGAAACTGATGATGAACTTTTTGGAAGGACAAAAGCATTTCAAATTTTTACTAATCCGATCGAATTGCAAAAGCATTTTGAACGTCAAATGCAAGAAATGATGAAATCGATTAGAGAAATTGAAGGTATTGATTTTTGACGTGTGTCGGAAAAATTACAAAATATCTTGTAAATTTCAGAAAATGGTGATTTGTTTGACAGAGATTTAAAGAACGAATATCTGAAACCTGGTTATGAAAAAGAGTTCAAACAGCATACAAGTGATACTGATTTGGACGGGGAGTAAGAATAATTTTGATTTACTCTTTTTTATAAAATTAGTTTTTACAATAATTAGACAAATTGTCTTTTAAAAACTTATTTGTAGAATTAATTCCGATCAATTACATTCATTGGTGCAACGCGTTTCACCTGAATTGGATAATATACTTTCAAAGCCGAAGTCATCTAAACCAATGTTTTCTAATTCAAAAGATATAAGAAAATTAGCAGATGAAGAAAAAATTTTGGGTAAAATTCATGGTTCAATTATTGATGAAGAAGAGAAACGTCCGACAGTTAGAAAGAGGGATCCTATAACACCTAAATTTTCGCCACATTTTGGTGGAGTATTTGAAGGAACATATCAGGTGATATATGATAACAACTTAATTAAATTTTATAGTTGTATAATTTCAAATATATGGGTTTAGGGTCCGAAAATGTTTGGTCAAAGTGTTGTAACACATACAATTCTTAAACCTGATGGTACATATGAAACAAAACGCGTTGTCAAAGATTCTGAAGGTAACATAAAAACCACAGTTACGCGTACCAGGGATGGTAAAAGTGAAACAGTAACAACATACGGCGACGGGAAAACTAAAAATTCATCTCCAACTCTAATTGATGTTAACAAAACTGGATCAATTTTGGCATCAGATCGCAATATATACGTATCCAAAAAAGGATATGCCTTGCCAATGAATTTATGGTGACCAGAATTCGCCCAAGCCTCGAATACTATGATAATTTTTTGGAAAATATTTATATATATTCAACTAGAAATTAGTATAAACATTTGGTGTTATAGCTGAAAATACTTGATCTTCAGAAAATCATTAATCTATATAATTTGAAATACATACAAATTTTTCTTTGCAAAAACAAAATTACATAAATATAAAACATTAAAAAAATATGATATTTTAAATATCATAATCATGTAAAATTGAGTAATTAAAAGAATTTTTTCACAAGTAAAAAAAAACTGAAAGTTTACCTTAATCATGGAGAAAATTCTTTTATAGATTCAACAAAAAAAAAAAAATTAAAAAAAAAAACAAAAGCAGCAAAGCAGCTACTAAAGGTAATGCGTTGTTAAAATACATTATTTTGCTAAACCTGCTGATATATTAAAATTAATGTAATTGAATTTGATATTTACATTATTTATTAGTGTCGATGGTATAAGGTGATGAGGATAGTTAGCAATCAATAATGCATCTAAAGAATTTGCTGATGTGAAATGAATTCTGACATATTTGTAATATCTTTTAAAAAATATTTGTATTTATTTTTAATTTATATGTTTCTTTTAAATTTATGTTTTTCAAATATATAAAAATGGAATAAAATGAAAAACAAAATACAAAAAATAGTTGACTCAAAAATTAACGAATAGTCAAAATATGAGGCGGTGATTTAAAAAAAAAAAAATTTTTTGAAAGACAAGACAAATTTGATACTTAAATTTTTTAAGTATTTATCTTTAATAATGAAATATAAAAAACAATATTATGATCAAATTAATGGACTGAACGATATGATACAAAAACAACTGTGACTATAGTTATTATTCAGTTTGTTTATTTAAGTTACTTAATTGACTAATTCATGCATTAAATTTATTTACAAAAAAAAATTCAATTCAAAAGCAAAAATGTATCTGTATATTTAATGAAAGGTAGTAATTTAGACTATAGAATAGTATTTAAAACTTAGAACTATATTTCATGTACAATGACAAGAAACAAAAAAAAAATCATATATTTCAATAAATTGTGTTTTAGTGTGCAATCAAAAATCTAGTTTAATTGTTTTTTAATTTATTGTATTTTAGGATACCCAATGAATTTTTGATTTAAAAATGAAAATGTGATTTATATTATCATGATCAATTTGTCTTTTAATTTAAATTAACTGAAGCTCTAAAACTTAACTCTTGGGGACATGGGAATTATAAAATAAACCATTTCAAAATTTTTTATCTTATATTTTTGAACAAAAAAATACAATTAATTCTACTAGTGCTGGGAATATTTAATAATTATATATATAATATATTTATATATGTATATACACATATATATTATATATTTTACTTATATATTTATTTATATTATGTACATTAAATACAAATCACAAAAATCTTATTATACAAATTTTAATTTTCTAATAACATTTTACATACCAATTTATTTTTGTTTTAAATTTTTATGTAGCTAATGTGAACATTTTTATGGTTCTTTTGAAAACTTACTAAAATGAATAATATAGAAATAAACTACAAATTACTTAAAAATAATTAAAATATTTCGTTTTGTTCAATTTATTACTTTTTTTTTTTAATTCCATAAAAACAAAATACTTCTCTTTTCGGTCCTAGAATATAGAAAAATTTTAAACAAATTTCAAATACATTAAATATTTCTAATATTTATTGATTATTTTGTTGATTTATTCTTGACAAAATCCTTCAGTCTCTTCAATAGCAAACGTTAATTTTTCTACTAATTGATCATAACTCTTATACGGTGGTAAATCTAACCGATTAAAACACGTATGTGATCTTGGTAACCATGTCTCTTTTCCTACTTTTTCAATGCAAAAACGTTGTGGTCCATTTGATCCCATTAATTCAGCAAAACCACCTACGGGTACTCTACAAGTTCCGGTAACAAACTGAAGAAGTCGGGCACGTTTTTCATTATCCGTTTCTCGTACAAACTAAAACATTAAATGTTATTTTTCATATATTGAAAAACAAATTCAAAATACGGAATAACTCACCTGCCAAAACCAAACAACTTGTTTGCTATTGCGATTATAATGTCTATATATTGTGTTTCTTTGCCAATCATCAACATCAACGTCTTGCATTCCGCATAAAATTAATTCTAATTCACGTTCGTCAAAATATTTAAGCCATTCTAAAGGTACCACTTCATTGAAACCTTCTAAAAATGTTTTTGTTTGTTGTTCAATGCCCCTAAATAAATAAATAAAGATTCAGTTTGCTCCCCACTTATTTTAAATCTTTTTAATGTAATTTTTCTTATTAGAATTATTATAAAATATTAGTAATATAAATGCAGTAAAAACTAAATGTTTTAATATTAAATCATGTACTTCTTGCTCTAAATGTGCATACCTTGTCATTCTCCATTCCGTCATCAACGTAATATACTCTTCCTTATTTTCTTCTGTAACACGAACTTTTTCTCCGTTTTCTTTTAGTTCGTGATGAATTATTTGTCCCAATACTTCAAAATCGACACTAAACCATAATTCCAGACCACATTCGTCGATATTATTATCCCTTACCCATATTAAAGAATTATAAAACTCTGGATCAATTGTTTCGATATCTTTTATGGTTAATTTTTTATTTAACATTCTTTTGTAAAACGGCATTGTAAAACCAGAATATATGAAACGTCCGTGGTATAAAGCCATTGCTATAAATCGCCCGATAAATTTAAAATATTGCAAATGATCTGGATTGACATAGCTAGCTGGATTAATTTGTAAGCTATAATTATTTTTATTTGCGTACTCAAATAAGCAATACATTGGATTTAAAACTTCATGTGATAACAAGAAAAACCATTCGCGCGACACTCCACCGTAATCTAGACCCTCTTCTCCTCTAAATATAATATACAAACGCCGTCTTAGTTCATAAGCCGGTAGTCGCATAATTTGATGATATGAATCTTCAAATAATGTTTGTCTGGTAACGGTAATTTTTATATGTGACGGTAATGCGTTGCTTTGACACAAATATCTAAATTGACTAAGTTTCCATCTAAAAGAACGTTCGTATGCTCTTGGTACACCATAAACTCCTTTCGCTCCTTTAGGGGCACCAGGTCTAGGATCTTCAAAAGTTGTTCTTCTGGCGTTATGGTCAACAAAAAATCTTTCCCCAGTTGCTGTATACCTTATTTCCCAACCTGGTGGTAAAGGACCTTCATTTATCAAACTAACTTCCTGTCCTTGTGTTCGAGGATCTTCCCATTGCGTTGTCCGATTTTTGTGATTCACAAAATAAACACGATTATCAGCTTGAACTTTTTTCTCCCAACCATCAGGTAGTGGTCCCAAATGATCTTCTTCGTCTTGCGTAACGGGTGCTACTGAAGCAGTAGGCTGTTGTTGCTGTTGGCCATATAAAAATCTTTGATTGCCTTGAGCTACTACATGAGCTCGTTGCCCTTGCCAGTGTTGAAAATGCATTAAACGCTCACTATTGGGGCGTTGCCATGTGGTTGTTCTGGTATTGTGATCCACATAGTAGACTCGACCTCGTGGATCTTTACGTATTTCCCAACCTGGCGGTAGAGGGGTGGGCTTTTCCCAGTAGGTAGATCTTGTGTTATGATCTACATAATATCTTCGCCCATACTGATCAAAGCGAATTTCCCAACCCGCAGGCAATGGTTCATCATCAGCATGTTGAGCTTGCAGTTGCTGATCTGTTGCGTTAGAGACGGGAGCAGGACTTCCATTTGGAACATTAGCCGCAACACCATTAGGCAGTTGTGCAGGTGTTAATTGTTGTTGTTGTGCTGGTTGATCAGAACTAGTGCTAGCTGATGGTTCAACTATTTGATGCTGAGTTGGATAACCGGGTACAGAACGTTGGCTTCCAATTCCTATAGTTAGATTTATTTTATAAATATTATACTTCTAAAGAAAATAACAGTTTTTTACAATCTTGTTTTGCACTTACCGTTTGAATTTGGTGCAATAATTCTTTGTGATTGAGGCTGCTGCTGTTCCCATACATTGCTACTGTTTACATTATTTCTTCTAATAGCTCCAGTTGACGATAATGTATTTTGTTTACCAGGTGACAATGACGGGGACATTGTTGGTGCTGATCCACTTAAGCTAAAATTACTTATTCCTGCAGTTATTGTATTACTTCCACTTGCATTTCCGCTACTATTGCTCGTTTGAAGTTGAGGAACACCATTCTGAGTAGGTTGCATATTATTTGTCCTTAATCGCATTCTAGCTCTAATTCCATTCATTAAAATACTTCTTCGTGAATCATTTGAACCACCATTTAGAGCTATATTATTGTGTTGCATTTGATTGTTATCATTTGCCGACACAGCCAATATTGGGGAAATTTGAGCCCCTGAAGCAGTCCCCAAATTTGCTCCACTATTACCATTAGGAACACCATTTTGAGTCATATCTATTTTTAAACCATTCAAGACAGCGACCAATTCGCCGCTTTTCGTTTGTCTATTATCTGATTTCGATGTAAACATTAAATCCATATTTAATTCCAAATTATCTATTCTTCCATTATAATGCTGTAATACTTGATTTAAATTTACGGAACGTTCACCTATTAAAGCATCTTTTCGAAAACTAGAGTGATCTAATACTTTAAAAATCAAAATTGAATTGGGAGTTACCTAAAAAATTAAAATAAAATTCGTAATTCAATTCGTAAATTAAAAACTTTTCATAGTAGTAGAATTTACCAATACTGTAAACTCTTCATTCCATTTCGGCAAATACGTGTTTTTCACAAAATCCGTTTTCCGCTTACTTTTATTATCAATTAAGAGTTCTACATACGGATTTGGTTTAAGAAAGCCATTATTGCGTAGGGATGCGTGTTCAACTAAAAATAAAATTATAAGTCTGATAAAAAAAAAGAATATTTTATATACATATATGTATAAGTAAAAAAGAACCAGAATTTTTATGTACAAAAACTGAAAACAAAAATTATTTCACACTTGCTAAACGATGAGTAATTTTAATTACGGAAATTTACGTATTAACATTTTGTAGATTTCCATGTTAATCAAAAATTAATAAACACGAAACTTTTTTCATTAAATTCTAAAGAATTTTTACCTTCATTTTCACATCATTTTCCTGTGTGATACGAAAATTATACAAACTTTATATTTACTTTTCTTATAAATTTATCTTTTCATTAATTCAATTATATGTGCTCTAAATAAAATAACTTACTTGTAACACTTAATTGATGATATCCTTGATTATTGCGATTAATTGTCGATTCCGCCATTATTTAAAATTGAATTTATTTAAAAATTTAAATTTCATAAATATTCAACAATATCATTTTCATATGATGAAACAATGTCTCTACAATAAAAAGAAGAAGAAAAAGAGAATGAAAAAATGAAATTATTTTTAAATAAATTTTAACAATAAAAAAAATTTATTATTTACTGATAAAAAATATAATTAGTCAGTCAGGGTTGCGAAACTTTTTAAAAAAAATAATATTTCAAATAAATATAATACGTTATGTATATATGCATGTGTGTAAAATATATATTATTCATTACTTATTAATTTTTAATCCTATGAGAAGTCATTGTTGTAAAACAGTATTTTAATTGAAAATCTCATGTCCCTTAATGATACAGGTTTTATATAAATGTAGTAGACAAAGAGGGGCAAAGAACTGGTACAAGGTTACCTTATTTTTATTATTATTATTTTCTATGTAATTTTACAAAATTAAAATTCTTAAATTTTAATTTGATTGTAAAATAAAGGGTGGTTTTCCATAATTATTTTAAAAATTTCAAATATCATCACGATAAAATTTCAATAAATATTTTGTAGTAAGGTAATTACGTACGACGACATATGTATATTTCATCATTACTGAAAGAAGTAAATAGGTACTACCTTTTAATCTGCTTTATCATGATATTATAAAGGTAATAGTATAGAACAATATTCTCATGTGTATATCTACCTATTTAGAGTTAAAAAATCAGATAAAAGTACAATAGCCGGTTCAAAAGAGTTAATCAAGAAAGTATGTAATATCTTACAAAGTTTATTAATCAACAAAACACGTAAGATCATAAATTATTTTCATACCCTAAAAACTTGAAGAAAAAAAAAGCAAAATACACAAACCAACTTATACTCGTTTTGATTAATTTTATTAGAATTTTAGCAGGAAAACCATTTAATTAACATTATAGCTTTTCCACATCGATTTATTACTAATTTTACTTATCTTAAATAGGTAATAATTCAAAAATAACCCATAGTATTGATAAAGAGCTTTTCGACAAAAAAATAATAATAATTATACTTACTTATTATCAATTTTTCTAACAACAAGAAAAATATTTGAAAACCCAATTTGTAAATCGATTTTTTATTTTTTTTTTTCAAATATATAAAATTTAAGTCCTTGAAATAGAAATAACTTGCACCAAAATTATATTAATTCAATTGAAATTTCACAATTTTTCTTATATTATGAGGCTACGCGAAAAAGGTTTACATATAATACAAATAAAATAAAAAAAATCACTTGACCTTTTATCGTGGTATAGCGTAGACTATTTGAGTTAAATTTTAATTGCTAGGTTTAGAGGTTGATATGTATAGAAACGTATTATAAATGTCGCATCAAAAATATTAACTTACTTTTCTTATATCAAAATTTAGAAAATTTAAAATTTCTATTTAAACTATTATTTTAACTAGCTAAACATAAAGTTTTTGATCATATTAAATAAATTTGATTAACTTTGAGTTTTTTTTTATTTTAGCTTTGCTTTCTTATGAAAAAGTTAAAAAAAAAATTTTCTTGATGTCACTTTTTTACATTACATATTTGACAACTTCACAATAAGTCACAATTGCCATTGTGACTTATTTAATTTCCCTTTTATCGTAATTAGATGTGTTCACATTGTAAGGTGTTTAACGTAGCCGATAGAATTCTGAATATTCTTTTTTAAAAAATATTTTCTTCTCTTCTTGTTTTTATAATTATTATTTTTGGTCTTTTTTTTTAAAGTTATCTGAAGTAAAATTTTTTATTTAATTATAAATTTGAAATATTATAAAACTAAACTATTAAATAAAAAATGTGTTTTAGACTTTTTGTTATTCAATAAAATATTGGCATGTCTTTAAATTCGACGTTATGACTCTTTCATAAATAAATGTGTTATGTTTCACTACCCCTTACCCACAAACAAATTTTGTAGATAGAGTTTTTCCAATAGAAAATACTGTTCCTAAAAATGATTCAAAATTGCTTTTCTTTCTTCTAAAATTGAAACAGAACCACGAAAAGAGAACTAAAATGAAAATAATTTGCTTTCGCATGTAGTCCCTCTACAATAAACAAAAAATCCCAAATCAGTAAACAAAATAACCATGCAAAGGTGAAATTGAGTTTTACCCGTCGAAGGATTAGGTTGAACCCTATATTTTTGCCATTTCTAGGATATCGATATATATATATATACATAAATATGTATCTCTATATACATATTTGAAACGTCATTCGTTAGATTGAAAATAAAAAACGCAACCCCAGCTGTTTGAGTGGTATTGTCAAAAAATTAATTATTAAAAGATTATAGAAAATTATATACAATGCAAAAGTAAAAACAAAAACATTTAAATATAAATACATGAACATTATTAAATTAAATTACTGGTATCAATAACACTGAATTAAAGCACAAAGCAATTAGTTGTTCTTCAAAGATGCTTTCAACAAGGACCCCAATATCACAAGAAAACAAATTATGGCTATCATGGCATGATTCCGCTTTAATTCCAATTCTCAATCCGACAAATATAATGGATTATTTTTCTCAAAAATCAAATCCATTCTATGATCGAAACTGCAATAATGAGACTTTAATGATGCAGCGTATAAGTTTAGATCAGTTGAAGTAATTGATGGTACAAAAATAATATGTTAAACATTTGTTATTGGAAAATTTTTCTTTTAGAAACATGACTGGAGTAGAATATATACTATTACATGTTCATGAACCAATTTTGTATGTTGTTCGAAAGCAACATCGACATACTATAAATGACGCTACACCATTGGCAGATTATTATATCATTGCTGGCGTTGTTTACCAAGCCCCTGATTTGGGGAATGTTTTTAATTCGAGAATTGTAAGTTTATAACTAAAAACACATATATATTTGTAAATGCAATCTTCTCTGTAAATGCTTCAGCTTTCTTGTGTGACTCATCTTCAATCAGCGTTTGAAGAAGCTAGTCAATATTCCAGATATCATCCAAATAAAGGTTACACATGGGATTTTTCTTCTAATAAAGCTTGTAAGCGTAAAATCTGATTCATGATTTACTATTTTTTTTACTAAAGTATAAATATTCTTAACTTGATAAAACGCTTTCAATCAAATTTTAGTATCTGAAAAGTCTAAAGCAACGACGAAGAAAGAATCTAATACCACAAGAGAAGAGCCTGGAACTTTATTTCAAAGACAACGAGTAGACATGCTTCTGGGAGATTTGCTTAGGAAATTTCCGCCCCCTATGCCACCTCAAATTCAGCAGCAAGCTCAAGTGCAAATAAATCAACAACAGTCAGCTGCGAATGCGAATGCTGGAACTTCCTCCCAACAAATTAAAACAGAACAGAATCAGCAAATAGACTCACAGACACAACTTCAACAAATCAAACAGGAACCAGTTGAAATGAATGCGCATCATTCTAATAATCCCTCAGATACAACTGCAAATATGCCAGATCAAAAAATCGACCCTTCTTTAATGGATATGAAACCACCTCCAGAAAAGAAAATGAAAATGTAACTAAAACTTAGTTTAAAATTAAGTACAATGAAATATTTAAAATTGACTGATTTTTAATTTTAATATCCGAAACCGAAAGTAACGATAAGTTGCCAGTTAATCCAAATTGCCCGATAGTTTCGAAGTTCAACGTAATATAGAGCAATCTAACAATACTCTTATGCAATAACTTTTACAACGCTGATCTATGAAACATCTAATCATGAACATTATAAGCGACGATTCCAACGAACTACAAGCCAATTTGCCTAAAACAAATATGTAATTAATTAAGCTTAAAGCTTATAGTTAAAATATGTAGGTAGGTGTTTACCAAAGTTGAAAACTCAAATTAAATTATGAAGTTATGCGAATGAATACTTACTAGCCACATTATTTTTAAAGCAGTTTCTTTTTTTTTAATTTTTGCATAAAGTACATACATACAAATGTATGATTAAATAGTTTCAAAGTGAGGAGAAAATAGGCCAGTGCCTACATGTATGCATTCTTGATATGGAAAATTAATTTCCTTCACTAGTTGACAGAGCTGTATTTGTAGTAAAAGTTCAGCATGGAGACTATAGTCAAATTCATGATCTTTCGTAATTTTCATGTTCAAGACCTTAAGGTTCAACGAAATACATACATATATGCATAAATATAAAACTCCAGATTAAAACGAAATATTGGTTTTTTATATTTCAAAACAGTTTAAGTAATTAAGTTCCCTCTCTATCAGTTAAAATTTGTTTATGAGATGTTTATGAAAATTGTTTATTTGTTAATGAGTAACGAATATAAAGCGAGTTGAACAAAGAGTAAATAAGTTGAAAAATATAAAAGTAGTATGTAAGTTATGGAGTTGAAAAAATATTTGACAAAGTAAATGTCAAAATCATTCAACAATTTGCTTCGAAACAAAAAATAGCTATCCGGTATAAACCAAAACAATAAGAGCGTTTTATTTGAAAACAAAATTCAAATGGATGAAATCAATGTAGAATATTTTATATCCTTAGTCGAAGTACATGAATGCATTTGGAATAATTCGGTAATAAATGCTGAAAGTTTACCGAAAATTGAATCTGCGTGGTCATCAATTGCTTTTATAATATACGAAAACTTTGATGCCCTAAAGGGAAAACAGAAGTTTTGGGGTAAGTAGCTATCCAAAAATTATCAGCGATTTTAACTGATTAAAATATTGTAGTTAATAATCTGAAAAGGAAATGGAAATCAATACTTAGTAAATTTAAAACCCTTGGAAAAGACTATGAGCATTTTCATTTACTGCAGTTTTTGGCAAAATCGAATAAATTTAACTCACTTACTTTTGAAGGCGAAACAAAGTTTGCAAACTCTGAACCATTGAAATGCGGGGAGATCTTATTTACCGAAAATGTTTATATTTATAAATGCTTGATTTGCAACATATCATTTGCTTCGTTATATTCTTTTGAAACACATATTTCTACAGTACATAGTTTGCCTTTACTGGAAGAAAGGAAAAACGAAAATTTAGCTGAAGTCTCAAATGGAGAAAATATAGAATATTTAATTGAAGATTTTTGCGAAGAAAATATTAAGAAAGAATTTAATATTCAAGAAAGGTTTAAAAAACGTACGTATTTTTTATTAACGAGAATATTAATAAAATAATTACCTAAATAAATAATATGCACTTAAATATACATATAATTTGTAACTATTATACTACTAATCAAACCAATTATTTTTTTAGCAAACACAAAAGAGGAAGTAACAGAAATATCAACTTCCGAGCAAATGATTGTTATGAATGAAGCAAAAGTCGATTATTTTGATGAATTTAAAAATCAGGAAAACAATTCACATAAGAGACTTAAGCATACGAATCAAATTGAATGCCCCCATTGTTCAATCATTTTTGAATTAAATGAACATGATATCAATCGCTGCTTCGAAATACAGGATATGATTTTAAAGCTTAACGGTGATCTTCGAGCCTTACGAGATGAAGGAATATATCATTGTGACCGATGTTCTAAATATTTTGATTCTTCAATTAAAATGCACAATCACCGGAGAAGAGAACATTATGAAATATGTCCAGTATGCAAAATTCGTTTATTAAATATAGAAAATCATGTTATCTCACATCACACTGATATTGATTATAAAAAGTTAAAAATTCCAGATTCGTTTAATTCTGGAATGTTTGAATGTAAATTTTGTGATAAAGTTTTTGAGGCAAAAGATATATGGCTCAGACATAAAAATAAATGTTCAATTACAAAGCAAGAAAATCATAAATTCATAAGTTTATCTTGAATTCCTGCTTAAAACAACAACTTATTTTAAAAGTCTTGCAGCAATTTGATACAAATACCAGTTTATGGCCCTTGATGGAGCTTTGGAGATTTTAAGAAAAGACGCAGAAATTAGATTTCCTTTGCATTTTACATTTCATAAACTCAGTCGTAAAATAAATTCAATGTAACTAGGAAAATTATATTAAAACATGAAATAAACTTCAAAAACTTATAATTGTATTTGCACTAAAGATAATAAACTTAATAATAAAGATTCACATTAAACTTTTGGTATCCATATAAAAAATACATTTTGTTCTTTATGCTCCATTTGCAACACTCCTAAATGTCTCAACATAGCTAATTTTGACAATGAATTTCTGTCTAATTTTTGCTTATTCATCTTTTTTGCTATTTCATCTTGTGCTATAAAGTTTTCATCTACAATAAAATTTCATGTAAATAAATTTAATTACATAGATAGGTAGATATAGTTACTTGGAAAAAGGACGGTTTGGGCTTTGTATAATTTCCAAAGATTAAACTCGGTGTTGTTCTTAACTCCTTCCCGTTTTTTATGGACAAGTTGATATTTTTCATTAAAACAAGGAATAACAATATCATCCAAAAATCGTTGTAATTCAAAAAGTGTTTCACGGCCTTTCACGTATCTACATTAAAATATTTTTTTTAGAAAAATTTATTTTCTGAACATTTTTTAACTTTACTTGGGTATCAGTTCAAAATCAGCAGGATTTATTTCCAATTCAAAGTTTATGAAGTAAATTTGTTTCGGTTGTGTTTTTTGCTTTACAAACGGGCTATTTACATACTCAGATAAGAGCATTTTCGAAAAATTTTGCTAAAAAATAACTTCATTATTGGCACTGAAAAATATTTTTCTTTTTACAGCTCACTTTCAATGGCGTTACTAAATTTGATTCTGTGGGTTTTGCCAAAGTGCTATTCTTCTTTTTCCTTACTTCTAACAACAAATCCATAACCGTCAAATGCTGGTTCTTCATTTTTTCTATAACTGAAAATAAAGACCCTTATTGATTGAAAAATATTAAATTTTTAATTTGTAACAAACTTTCTTGGAAACGAATCTTTAGCTGAGGTAATTGTACTTCATACAATTCTCTAGTTTCCTCCAAAAGATTTGCAACATCTTCAGCCTTTTTTCTTAGTTCTTTTAATTCAATTTTAATAGTGTTTTTTGGAATTTGTAAATCGCAAAATTCATTTAATAGCTCACATTTCTTACATAAATTTTCAATATTTGTTTTAAGGTCTTCCATAAGCGCAAGGATCTTTTTTTATTTCTTTCAATTAAATTTAGTGGATTAATACACTTTGATGTTTCCTGATTTGATATTATTTTATATTTTGAAAGACAATATCGCAAATCTTGGATTTCCAACTTTTAATTGCAACAGTATTTTTAAGGCACAGTTTGATTATATTAAAATAAATAGTTATTTACTCACAAATCATGAATATTGGAAAAAGTAATTCACAAACAATTTTCTACCTGATCACAGTTTTAAATTATTTAAAAGTATTTGTTGTTTTAATAAAATAATTCTAGATCCGAGAACTGCCAGGTTTTATGAATTTTTGAAAAATTCAAGTTAGTGTGTACATCGCAATAGTTTTTTGTTCAATTTACATTAAACGTTTCATGCTGGTTATAATTTTGAATGCTTATCTTTTAAATATTAAAATTTCTACCAAAAGCAAAAATAAAACCAAAAATCTCTGTCATAGTGCATCCTGTAAATTTTACAAAGAACTTTTAATTTAAACTCTTAATGAAACATAGAATTTTTTTACATGTTTTTTTTTTCAAATTAAAGAACTTTGTCTAACATTCTTAAAAAAAATCTTTGTGTTTCATTTTCTATTAGCGACACATTTCCGCCCAGAAAGATTTCCATGAAAACGAGAAGAGTTTACTCGTCCCGAAATTTCGGGAAAACACCGACTTATAAAATTATTGTTTTTATGTTTTATGTTATTTACATGTTCCTCCCTACACACTTGAAATGTGTTTTAAATTTAACTTTTAATGGGTCACTGAACACACATAACCAGTTTAAACTTTTGTATTACTTGAAAATGACTAGTATTCTCATAATGAGTTTTTGAGTGAAGTCGACGATTTTAACGAGTTTGTCCGTCATGACCCACGAGTTTGCTTTATTATAACGAGTTGCTAAATAATACTCGATCGGGAATTAGTTATTTGACTCATAAAACTTTTTACTGCTACCCATCGTCTGTCGATACTAAAGAAACAACATAACAAAAAAAGTTGCTGTATCCAAAATAATGTAAATTTAGTACGTCATTTCCTAAAACGATATCTTTTGATCAAATTTTGTAATTCTAGAGCGATGAAATGAGCTTAGCTTTAACTGATGCGTTCTAGAAGGTTCAAATTAAAGAATAACTTTCATTTAATAACCATAACATATTGCGTTTGTAAAAGAATGTACATAGTTGCATACGTCGTTGAGATGCATAAATCCCCTTATGACTCTATTTGCTATTTATTACTGATTACTTGAAAAGATAAATTGAAGGGGCGCTGGCAATCCTAATGTTGATTGCGCATATTCTGTCAGATTAAAAAAAAAGTTGTCAATAAAAGCGGCATGGGTGGTCCTTATTTTGCCCTACGTTTTAAATTTTTGTTTTTATTTTTTATATACTTGAATTAAAATTTTTAAAAATTTATAACTTTTAAAACACTTTATTTTCAAAATAAAGTGAATTTTTGTTTGATGCTATAGAATTGGATTTTTGTATAAACTTAATAATTTTTTTTGAAATTGGCTTTATTTTTTTGTTTTGGCTCAAACGGGGAAGTGTCTGTCCTTGATTAAATTTTTTTTTTTAAATTATGACGTGAGTGCAAAAAAGACAAAGGCATGTAAACATTTCAATCAGTGCTAATTCAATTATTTTCCAGGAGCCGAACTTCTTGCATTCTTTTTATGTTTTTATTTTGGTTAGATTTAAATGTTGCATTAAGTATCAATCCGTCTTCTCAACTTACTCAAACAGACCAACAGTTAGAGCCGATAAATGGAACTATTAATTTTAGGATGTATGGTAAGTTATAAAAAAAATATTTTACGATTTTAGAATAAATAAAGATTTATTGTAGGGAAAAAAGGTAAAGATTTAGATAAACCATGGTATGATGGCAGAGGTGATATAAGGCATATACAATGTGTTAGACCAGGACGTTGTGAAACTTTAAATATAACAACATGCTTTGGTGCAAAAATTTCTTATCCACAAACAAGTTTGGCTTTAACTGATGCATTTAATCAAGAGCAGATTAAAGAAAAACTTTTTAATTATCAAGCGTTACAATATTTTCCGAAATGCTGGGCGCATATTCAGGTAAATTAGATTGTTTCACAGCATTTTTCCAAATATTTTTATATGTAAATTAAATTAATTGTTATTTCTAATTTTCAAGCCTTTTCTTTGTGCTGTGTTTGTACCAAAATGTGAAAAAATTAAAGACGAGGATTATGTTTATCTACCTTCATTAGAAATGTGCAAAGTTACTCTTGAGCCTTGTAGAATACTCTACAATACATCATATTTTCCAGAATTTTTAAAATGTAATGAAACCCTTTTTCCTTCAAAATGCAACAACGATGCACGTGAAATGAAATTTAATGTTACTGGTAATTGTTTAAAACCACTTGTACCGACTGAATCATCAACAAGTCACTTTCACGGTATTGAAGGATGCGGAATTCAATGTAAAGATCCTTTATACACAGAAGATGAACATAGGCAAATTCATAAATTAATCGCATGGGGTGCCTCAATTTGTTTGCTGTGCAATCTATTTGTAATAATTACATTTGTAATAGATTGGCAAAATGCAAATAAATACCCAGCTTTGATTGTATTTTACATTAATTTATGTTTTGCTATAGCTTCACTCGGGTAAGTTTTCTTGCTTTACATTTTTAAAAGTAGTATATAAATTTTTAGAAAGATTAACAATTTTTCGACTGTAATCTAGATAATACTATAAAATATTTTTTCCCGAACTAATTTATTTTAAACAAATCGTTTTCTAATTTAAATTAATCTGCTAATTAAAATTTAAATTAAAAAAAAACCCTATTTTGTATTGTTTTTAGATTTTGATCCAAGAATCAACGTTTTTTTTATATTTTCAAATACTAAAATTATACATTTTAAAGAAGAAAAAATATTCATTATTCAAAAAATTTATTAATAATTTTCTTTATATATACTTTTCGTTTCATATGATCAATCTTTAATTTTTTAAAAATGTTATTATTGCTACGTTATTTTTTACTTAATTCATTTGATAACCAGTCCAAACCTTCGTATAAACCTTGCCCTTGCGAAGCACACGTTGCTTGAATGTACCAACTACGATTGCGCAATTGATTTAAATTTAATTTTTCAGTTAACTCAGCAGCAGTCATTGCATTAGGTAAATCTTGTTTATTTGCAAATACCAATAAAATAGAATCCTTCAGTTCATCCTCTTGTAACATTGCATGTAACTCTTTTTGCGCCTCCTCAATTCTCTCACGATCATTTGAATCGACAACATAAATTAAGCCTTGTGTATTTTGGAAATAATGCCTCCATAATGGACGAATTTTATCTTGTCCACCAATATCCCATACCGTAAAACATATATTTTTATATTCAACTGTTTCGACATTAAATCCAATTGTAGGAATTGTTGTAACAACCTCACCCAATTTTAGTTTATATAAAATTGTGGTTTTACCAGCTGCATCCAATCCAACCATCAAAATTCTCATTTGTTTTTTTAAAGATAAACGTTGCAAAAGACTGGATATAGTTAAACCCATTATAAAAGATTATTGGAATGCTAAATTTTAAATTAAAAAAATGCAATGACTCAGGTTAGGTGGTTTTCTAATATTTCTGACAAAAGCATCAATTCTTTATGAATTCGATGAAAAATTTGTATGCGTGGAATATCAATATTGCCAATCTACTAATTTCTTTACTTCCGTTTGTTTTTCTAAATTAATGAAAAATATGAATTTATATTTAATTTTTATTTTCTTCAATTACTAAAATTGTTTTAAAAATTAAATTACTTTTTATAAAATCCGAATAAACAAATTAAAGAACCCGACACGTCAGAATCGCAATCAGGAATTAAATTTGCTTTTGACAGTTCACATGGGATTGTTTTTTCATTTAGCAAAAGAGTCAAAATAAACATGACCGTATGAAACGACTCTGACGCAAAGAAAAGTTCTTCAGATCAGATATATTTTTAAATATTAATTAAAACATTAATTTAAGCATGAATTTGGTTTTTCATATAAATATCACAGAAATTTGTAAATTCATATGTATTGTACATACTATTTTTTATTTAATTTGCATTAAGGTAAAATAAATGTATTTACAGGTGGCTAATTCAATTTACACCAGGAAGTCGAGACGATATTGTTTGCAAAAAAGATGGAACTCTTCGTCATTCAGAGCCAAGTGCAGGAGAAAATTTATCCTGTATTGTAGTGTTTGTTTTAGTGTATTATTTTTTAACGTCTGCAATGGTTTGGTTTGTTTTTCTTACGTATGCTTGGCATTTAAGATCTATAGGGAATAATCAAGATCGTATTGATAAAAAGGGATCATACTTCCATCTGGTTGCTTGGTCTTTGCCTTTAGTGCTTACAATTACCATTTTAGCTTTAAGTGAAGTTGATGGTAATAGTACTGTTGGAATTTGCTTCCTTGGTTACAAAAATCATCAAATTAGAGCTGGTCTTTTATTGGGACCATTGTGTGGAATCTTATTGATTGGAGGATATTTTATAGCCCGTGGTATGGTGGAATTGTTTGCTTTGAAAAGTTACGCAACCGATATCAAATCGACTTCTGCAAGCAATAAAATTCATTTGATTATCGTTCGAATGGGAATGTGCGCAATGTTAGTGTTTGTTTTCATTTGTGTGACTATTGCATGTCACATCAATGAATTTAAAAACTCTCAATCATGGATGGAAAGTTTTCGCATTTTTATTATGTAAATTTTATTTATGAAATTTAAAATATTTTATTTTAAAATATTGTAATAACTTCTTAGATGTAAAATTTCATCTACTTTTACTGATGAACATAAAACATGCAAGATGCACAGTCGTCCAAGTGTAGCAATTTTACAACTTCACTTATTGTGTCTTTTTGGGTCTGGTATTGTTATGTCATCTTGGTGTTGGACAAAATCTTCAATCGAAACATGGAAAAGATACATTGCAAAGTAATCAGAAAAAGTAATTTTATTTTGTGTTAAAGTTTTATACATATATTTTTTATAATAGGAAATTTGGTCGTGAAGGAAGCGACGACGTTAAAATGCCGAAACATAAAGTTATTGCCCAAACTTGGGCGAAAAGAAAAGAATTTGAAGATAAAGGCAGATTATCAATAACTTTAAATAATACTCGCACAGATCCAGTTGGCTTAAACTTTGATGTAAATGATTTAAATTCATCTGCCACTAATGAAATTAGCTCTACTTGGGTCAATTACCTACCTCAATTCGTTACCAGAAGATTTGCTCTTACGGGCGCCCCTGTAACTAACTCATCTAGTCACGGTGCTCCACGTAAAAGTTCTTTAGATTCGGAAATAAGTTTCAGTGTTCGCCATGTATCTGTTGAGTCCAGAAGAAATTCGGTCGATTCTCAGGTAAGAGATAATAAGAATTTAAGAAGGCGAGGTTTATTATTTTGTTTGAAAATGGAAATAAATTTTTTATTTAATTTTTTATTTTATTTTTATAAATTTTTAATTTGAATTAGGTTTCTGTAAAAATAGCAGAGATGAAAACAAAAGTCGCAAGTCGTTCGAGAACAGGAAGTCATGGAAGCAAGAAATCAAAAACTAGAAATTGTAGGCGGGATTTTTTTACTACTGGAGGTATGCCTGGTGGTAAAAAGTTTAGTAGTAGAAAAGAAAGTAGCACATCTATAGAAAGCCAAATAATTGCAATGAAAAAAACCACAGGTTTGTTCAAAAATAAAAACGTAAAACGACGGGACAATGCAGTTCTTGATCCTAATGATATAAATAATTTTTTGGCAAAGAATGGTAGATTTATTATACCATTTCTACAAAATCAGGGAATGACAACAACTTCAGACGAAGAGTCAAAAGCGTCCGTTAAAATTCAAGATTCGCGTTTAGATGTTGTAATGCGCCAAAACCAAAGTGATGTCGATGATTTAGATGATTCTATATATAAATCAAAACATGCGGAAAATTACGTCGAAGACGATGTAGATAGCAAATCGTTAAAAGCTATTATTAAACGTTCGACTTCGTTTAACAATAAAGATCATTGTTACGAGTCTCCGAGTCGCAATAGTAAATGTAGTAATAAAAGCCGGAATAGTGCCCGAAAATCCAATAATCATAGTCTTAGAAGGAATCGTAAGAACATAAAGATAGCACCTTTAAATAAAAAAGATGGTTCAGATATAATATCAAACGGCAATTTAAATGGATCAATTAGTTCCATTTCTTCTGAGTTAGATTTACCAATTTTACATAGTTCTTATTCAGGAAAATCAATTACGGCTGTTGATCGAAATTTAAAACCTAATTCTCGTAACAGTTGTGATGTTGGCATACAAACTAATGCACGTGAAATTGCTACTCAAACCTTAGATTCATATGAAATGAAGGAGAGTAAAAGGTGTACCAAGAATAATAATAATTGTTCAAATCGTAGAAAAAGCGGTAACAACAATAGCAGAAGTAATTTGTCCGAAAATGATAGTGAAGGTGAAATAGGAGAAAGGCATAAACTGTTATCTAATGCTAAAATTCATCCGACGATTGTAGGAATGAGTGAATCAGAAAAATTAAAAATGCTGCTGCTTCCCTCAAAATAAATAATTATAAATATAAGAAATTCTAGAAATCTCAATAAGTTAATCACAATATAAAAAGTAAATTTTATGGACATTTAAGACTGAAAATATACTCTCTTGGCTCTGCTGATTTCACAAAATGACAACGATAGTTAACGTTTTCAATAACATAAAGTTAAGTCAATTTTTAATTCAAAAAATTGCAGAAAAATGTATTTACTATTTTAAGATTTATATATGTAAGTCATATAACACAATAATTTTTTTTTTAATTTTGTATTTTATATCTGCTTTTTAAACTTTCTGATTATAAGAGATTGTGTAGGCATACATACATACACCCATACTTTTATATGAATTTGATTTATTTAAGTTAAAGAGTACAATAAAACTGTATGTCGTTCAATGTTTGTTTTCAAATTACTAAAAGGAGTCTATTACTAAATTTTAAAAGGGTTTACAGCTTATTTCTACAAAAATTGAAAAATGACAATTAAAAAATGACAAATGACAATTTAGTATACAATTTAGCATCACAAGCATTTTGAACGTTTGTTTTGGTTTAGAGCAATTGTTTAATTTTTCTTTAAGGTTGAAAAAATAAATCGCCATGTCCATTCGGGAGAATAACCCAGTTATTCGTAAAATCGGAAGGCAAAACTCCAACCAAAATCAAATAAAACAGAATACTGGGACGAATGCCACATCCAATTCTTTACCTTCTCAAAATGTTAATAACGGGTCTGAGGAGACAAATGTATCCTTTCTGCAAGAAATATCTGACATTATGAAAGGATTTGGCGACTGCGAGCGCCCATTACGTGAAAGTGTGCAATTAGTTGAAAAAATATTGCAGCAGCAATTGAAAGGGATTTTAAGTGAAGCTACAGAAGTTTGTCTGAGACGTAAAAGAACTACTTTTCCTGTTCAAGCAGATTTTGAATTTTTAATGAGACGGAATCCTGTAAAAATAAATCGTATGCGAAAACATTTGAAAGATATGAAAACTTTTAGAAGAATCTTACAGCTACAATATGGACGGCCACAAGTGTTAGCTGAAGAGAGTGATGGTCAAGAAACTGATGAGGACGTTGAAATGGAAATCCCAGAAAAATATGATGAAGAAAAAACGCGGAGAGTTTTCAGAGCTGATCGAATTTCTCAAATTCTAACTGGTCAACAATATCAACAATACAATGAAGCAAGACGAACTTCATTTTACTGCAGGCATTCAGAAAGAATGAAATTAAAATTTAAACAGTTTTTGGGAATTCCACAAGACAGTAAAATTCCAGGCATTACACTAAGTATATTAGCGTACTTAGCTCATGAAACAATAGCGTATATTGTCGATTATGCAATCTTAACTCGTTTAAACTCAGAAAATCGCATTACGGAGCCCTACAGTCGAGTGACATCATCAGGCAATAGTTATACTATGGTAACAATATTAGATTTCTATTTAAAGCTAGACCTAAATAAAATATAAACTATATTTCAGTTGCACCTTTGTCCAGAAGTTGTGCAAGGCCGTGGTTTAGAAGGTGTAAAACCAATAACTGTTCGAGAAATACAGGAAGGAATGAGGCGTTTTAATCAAATTGGTAGAAAAACAATGGGCTTCTACAGGAATTTAACAGATCCTCAAAAAAAAAATTTTCTAGCTATTTAAAAATTTGATGATTAATTAAATGGTAACACCTACAAAAATCAATTTGACATTTTTTATAATTTTATTTATGAGTTGTGTATCAAAAAGGTAAAGAACACAAAATTACTTAAACACTATTGTATCTAACATAGCACCCAAACACTGAACTATGTTGTTTTGCATGACCTTATCAACCTTCTCTTCCAAATGACGTTTGGGATCTTGCTTTCCCACATTTTTAATAGCAAGCTGTTCAGGTGTCATCTTTTCTTCATCTTCCAAAGCCTTAAAAGAATATTATTGTTTTTTCATTTTATTTTAAATTAATTAAACAGTACCTTATTATAATTTTTAGCTAGTTCCAACATTTCAGCGACAGTTGTCTCGTTAATCGTACAATGCTCATTGTAATCTGCCAATTTAAGCCCATCCATCCAAGATTTTTTATGCAAGTTGAGTAACATTTTTTGTTCCAACTCATTCTTTCTGTAATTAATACTTATTGAATAATAATGCCTATTTAATCCATGAATTAGCGCTTGAACTGAGGGTTTTTGTAAATGACCCAAGTTCGATGTTGTTTGTCTTGGTTCTTGCCCTAACACCAACATATTCGGATTTATTAATCGAAAAGCGTCTATTACAACTTTTCCTTTGACTGACTGAATGGGATCAACTACAACAGCAACAGCTCGTTCACTTAGCGCTTCGAAAGATTGCTGTGTATTAATATCAACACCAGATAACCAACACCCAAACCCGGGATGCGAATGGTACCACCCTACTACCATTTCAGGTCTACCAGTTTGTTTTAACATATCCAACATCTTAGCTTGAAAAACTGGGTCAACAGCTTCTACGGAAACTCCAGTACCAGTTTGGGGCATAGCGAATACATCTATTACTTGTACTGTATAATCATCAACAAATTCACCTAACATCAAACCCATAACTTCCATAGGAACGCCAGCGCGACCATGCTTAAGCATTTTTAATAAAGCTAAAGAAGATATATAAACTTGCTCCGCTGTGTCAACAACTGGGGCATCTAAAATTTAAACAACATTAAAAACATACAAACATATGTATATATTAAAAAAATACTGATAAAACTAACCTGTCGGCGGAGCCTGCGGCATCGCACCCCCTAATCGAAGTAATCTGTCCATATTGTTATATTTTTGAAGTAAAACTTTTTAAAAATCACACAAAATTTATGTTATATTTGAGACGTTTTAATTTTATATGAATTTTAAAATAATTTTTTTTTTAAATGCAAACTATGACTTGTAAAAGTTTAATGATTGAACATTCGGATTGTAAAATGACAGTAAAAAACTGTCAAAAATATGCAAGTCAACCGATATGAAATTTGACATTGGCCGCGTTTTTTAAATACAAAAACATTAGATTCGTTCAAGTCACGAACTTGTTATTGTAATTTTCTTTAAACTGTCAATAGGAATAAGAATCTATAATTTGGGAAGTTTTCACTGAAAAAGAAGCATTTGAAGTGTGCAGAATTTATACACAGCATAATATAGCTAGAGAGATTTATACGTCGTTACTACGTTTAATTTTTCATTTAATTTATTTTTGTCCTATTCGAATATATCATTGCCAAATCTCAAAGTAAATTTAAAAATTTACCAGAATATTAAATTAATTGTAAATATGTATGTACATTTAACAAGTTAAATAAATAGAGGAGTGCATACTGCCCATTTCGTAGACTTTTCTGCATGTGTAGCTATATGAAAAAGCTCATATTGTTATAAATAAATATATTCTTTTTATGTTTATAAATTTATTTATAAAAAAATTTCTTTGTATTCACAACCAGTTCAATCTTTTGAAAGTTAAGAACATGAAGAAAAATAAGGGCTAATAGTTAAACATATACAAATTATATATTATAATTATAAATTATAAAATTATATATAATTATAAAATATACATATATAAGATACCTCAAACCAATAATTGGTAAAAATATAAAATGCTAATTTTTGAAAATTATAATTAAAACTTTTGAAATTTCACTTACAAAAAAATTTGCCAACGGTAATTTTAGTAAAATATTGATAATTTTTCAAAATACAGGAAAAATTGACTTATACCCTTTTCAATAAAAAAAAAAACTGCTCATGCCGTATTTTAGAAGTAAATACCTGTTGACATTTTCTTATAACTTAAATTCTAAGCTTGAATACAAAAAAAAAGACAATTAAAAAAATAAGCCCGCTAAACTAAACCACTTTAGTGATTTTTTCATTGCATTTTTTAATGAAACAAATTTTTGTTTGTTTTCCTTTTTCTACTTTTTTTTTTTGAAAACTTTTCGTTTTAAACATTTTTAGTACAACTCATTTAGTATGTTTTTAATGCCACGATAAGCAAAAACTAAAAGAAAAGTACGGAATATATTTACTATATTTGAAATGAAAAAGCAAACTGTTATAATTTTTAATTTTGCAATATTTTTTTAAGTAAAAAATTGTGCAAGAGAAAATTTGACAAAAAAAAAAAAATAATTTTTTTTTAATTTTTATTAATTTTGATTTTATGTTTGTTAAGCAAAACTAGAATTTTTATTGTGAAAAGCGTTGTAATTAAAAAAGTAGAACAAATATTTTTTTTTTTGCTTTTTACAATAAAATGATAACGAAAAGTGTTTAACGTGGTTATTAATTAATAAATTTTTATACATTGAAAGAAAAAAAGAAAACTTTGCAAAATAAATAATTTTTTTTTTTTGTGATAACCTGATATTGATACGAAAATTTCATACAAACTTTTATACTGAGTATATATACATTGTACACGTATGTATGTACTATACGTGTGGTTGATTATTATTTTGTGTAAATAAAACAAAATGTAAGTATGCATACCTTAATCAGCAGTAAACAAATTTTACCTGTATAATTGCATATATAGAAACAAGAAATGATAAAAATAATTTAATTTTTTATTATTTTTTTTTTGACTGCAGTATTTATCAAGATGTCATGCTTAACTATATATACAAGCAATTTTAAGACACTTACAATAAATATTTTTACAAGAAATGAAAAAATTTAACAAAGATTATTGATTGATTAACGGTAAGATGTTTACAGTAAAATCCTTTTTTATAATATACTCTTATACATATATAAATATCAACTATAAATGTTATATGTTATTATCATTTCTTATCATAATAATGTTAATTTTGTAATAATTTTGTTGTTCTAACTACATTCTAACGAAATAAACTATTTATACATATATATAGATTTACGATCTTATTGACAATAGAAATATTTAATTATTTGAGATTTAAAATAATGAGAATAAAAATTACCAAAAAAAATCAAAGTAAGATCCCGTTAAATCTATCTATTTATAAAGAACGTTCAAAATCCATTAATTTTATAAATATATACTGTGTATAGAGCCTTTAATATAAAAAATGTAATTAGCCCTTAAAACAAATACATATATACATACATGAGAATGCAATACTGTCAAATCAAGTTGTTCCATTAATAGAAATTATCATTATATATAGCGTTCATTATATAGAAATTTCACTGTATATAAGTTAAATGAATTATATATTTCAAAGGTTACTCACATATTCCTAAATATAACATTATATAGATTATTATGTCGACAAGTGAAATACTTAAACATATATGTAGGTGTATCATACAAAATGATATTTTCTTAAAAAAAATCAAGTTAAGTAGGTACATCTCAAAATTTTATTCGCACTAATGTAAAACGTGCAAGAAACGTGCAACTACCGTAAAAAAAATTTAAGTTTTTCTACTTTAATTATGTAAATGAACACTAAGGTTTGAAAAATTTCATAGATACCTACTATATATTTATTGCAAAAAATTTTAACACGATTTTTGTTCGCATAAATATTTTCATATGTATTTTCATAATATTATGCAACTATAAAATTTTAAAATTGTCAAAACTTATGCAATTTACAAAAAAATCAGATGGCAAAAATAATTGCAATTTATAACAAACATTATAAGTTTGATATAATTCAACTTTGTTCCTACACATTCCTACACAGTCTATCAACTATATAATACTTATTGTCAACTATTTCAATTGTGCTATTAATCATATAAGCTTTATAATGAAACTAACAACATGTGGAAATTCAATTTTTTTTAATTAATGATTAAAATTTTAATTTTTCGTAATAAAATCTACTATTAGAGAACATTTTTTTTAGGTTAATATAGCTTTTGTTTGAAAGTTTTTCTTATAGTAATTAGGTAATTAAAAATGTACTGTATTTAAAAATTTATTGCACTTTTTGAGTATTAAATTAATTTAGAAGTACAATTAAGAATCAAGTTCTTGAGCATAATTGCATGCTCACTTTTACAACCGTTTCTTTCACTGAGAACTGCACTGCGTATGAACTTAAATGTAATTGGAGCTCATAAAAAAATTATTAATTGACATTTCCTAATGAAAAAAAGCATTTAAATTTTGAAATTTATAAATTTTATATCTCAATTTTTTTAAAGGAAAAAATTATAATTTCCTCTCATCTTACACCGTCAAATTAAAAAAAAAAAATCAATGGTTAATAAAATAAACTTTTATGTACAATATTTATGCATAAAAAAAAATAGAGAGAATCATTTACAATAAAAAAGCACTTTGTAATTATTGTGAATAACAATTTTTCTTCACTTTAGCCAAACTTTTTGTTTTTGTTTGAATGAATATGAAAAAAAAAATGAGATGAATGAACTTTCTTCATACTTTACTCTACATAATCTTGACATTATTTTCATTATTTAAACTTTATTATAGAATAATACAATGAAAAAAAAAAATAACTCAAATGGAACATTAATTTCCTCAACTTTTTTTTACGTTGTTTTTTTTTCTTCAATAATTTGTTTTATAGTTGATGTTGTTGCTTTTTTTTCTGTCTGTATACCAAGGTACTTAAAATTGCGTAAAACTACTATGCAATAAAGTGTTCATATAGCTTGTATCGTATGTACTTTTTTCTAACTTTGAAATTTTATTATAAATAATAAATCATATTTTTAATAGTGCTTATTATATTATGTGTTTTTAAAACTAACAAAAAATGTCAAAAGTAACAAAATTTTCGTATTTTAGTTAAGTACCTTTTTGTTAATGACAGACAGTACTTTTATGCATATCGTTTTCTCGTTTTTATTCGTATGCATATTTACTTACACGACTGGTTATACTTTCATCACAACACACATAATATGCTTAATAACTATAGCAAAACTGTGTATATTAAAAAACATAATTCATTCTTTTTTTATTAAATTCATTGATTTGATCAAGGTCTTAAATAAACTAGAAAAAAAAAGAATCAACTGATCAGAATTAAGTAAGAAAAAATAAAAAAAAATTGACAAAAAATAAATTGTTTTTTTAAACTGCGTTGAAAAAACTTACCAAATAAAAAACAAACAAAAAATTACAAGTTCACAACATTGTGCACAGATAGCAAAGACAGTTCAGTCCAAAATTATAAAAGAATATTTTATACTTGGATTATTTTCATTGTTCTTTATCTAAAATTACTTAAAGGAAGGGTTCGAGCAAAAAGAATTTTTATATGACCTCGAATACAATAATCCTATGTACAAGTAATTCATTTTTAATTCCTGTTAATTCATGAGGTGGACGTCTGAAATAAAATGTACCAAAAAATAATGACTATTTATGTCTAAAATTTTTATGGCAACATCGGTAATGTACCATAAAAAAAATGTGCTAAATTGTTATTTTTTCAAAAACTGCAATAATAAAATATTTCTAAACAACAACTTATCTTAATTTCGAGCCGTAAAATGTACTAAAATTTTCTTAATTTTAGGGAAAAAAATATTTATTAATTTATTAAGAGAAAAATTTACAAGAACAATTAAGAGTTTGCTGCATAATATGGAATCTGAATGTAGTACGTTTAAACATGTGTACATAGAACTTTTCTAATTTGTGCCAAAACAGCTTTTGCCAAGGCCCAACAGTGTTTTTCTTTTATAGCCAAAACTTTTACTTTTTCGTGTTATTGATTACAAATTCTCATATTTAGAAGAAAAAAAAACAATAAAATAAGTCTGCAGTAATTGTACTTGATGTTCGATTATATGCATAATGAAATTCCAAAAAAAGAAAAACTATAAATAATAAAAATACAAAAAAGCGAAAAGTAAAACCTGTAGATATATTGAAATTATGCCAGAGATTAATGTTCTTCTTCTTTAAGAAAATGTTAAAATTTTAAGCATATT